CGCTGCTGATGACGTCACGTACGCGCTTTAATCGGGCGCGCTTTAGTGGACCGCGGTTTTGACGGGTCACGGTGTTGCAGTATCTCCCCCCGCCCCACACTTTCAAGGCCTTCCTGTTACTATATGTAAACGTGTGCTGTTCTCCCAGCGCATCGGAAGTGCGGTTCCTACAATTGCTTCAAGCCAGGTGGAGGCTGCAGGATTTGAGGTCCAGCCCCTTTGGAGGACGCCACGGGGAGGGGGGAGAAGGCTGGGCTAGCGGAGTCTTTCCAGGCCCCTGGTGGGAGGTGGGGGGGAATACAACTGGTACCTGCCAGGCTGCTGAGGCCGTCTAAACTCGTCGGCAGGTTAGTCTGCGTCCTCTGCGTGTTCCGGAGGTGCAGCGTCTGCAGAGCCGTCATGGTGGGAAGTTGTCTTCAGGGGAGGGGGGAGAGGAGAGGGGGGGAAGGGCTGAGACAGGACCACCAGGCGCAGGGAAGCAAGGTGGGCTTCTGCCCCCATTTGGCCTTCCTCAACTTGCCCACCCGCCCTTTGCCCCTGCGCCCAGGTCTCCCCCGAACCCCAGGGACTAGCGCCTTTAAAGTGAGCAAAGGAGAGGGACTTCCCTTTAGGCCCTGATGGCAAAATCTATGGCACGCGCACCGCAGGTGGCATGCAGCACCCTCTCTGTGGCCACGCGAGCCATCGCCCCCCTTCAGCATTGCTGTGCATGGACGCCTGCCTCCCGCTGGCCAGCTGGGTCTCTGTTGCACACACGTGGGGGATGGGTGCATGCAGGGGGGCTGTGTACGTGGGGGACGGGACCACGTCCATTGCATTTGGGGGGTTTCGGCCGCACGCACATTTGCACACACACACAGGCGCTTCGGGCACTTGGCCCGGAAAGCTTTAGGCCGATGTCTGCAGCTTGGAAACGAGACCCCCCCCCCCTTGCAACTCCCAGGGGAAGAGACACGGAGGGTCCCCTCTGCCCCCACCTCTCCTACCTGAGCTGGGCGTGCATCAGAGGGTTGTTATTCAGGAGCAAAGTCTGCAGGTGCACCAGGCGCCTCATTTGGGGGGGGAGGCTCTCCAGCTTGTTGTCACTCAAATCCAGGTAAAGCAGGTCGGTCAGGTTGATGAAGAGCTGGTTGGGGATGCTGTCTATGCTGCGGGGGCCGGGCGGGGCCGGGCGGGAAGAAGAGGGACACGCCTTGTTTACGCTGCCAGGGAGGGGCCCTTCCTGGTGCCAGCGCCTCGCCCCGCTCGCTCGCCAGAGGCACTTCAACAGCCGGGCGGTCCACACCCCCGATTTTTCCCCCCCTGCAAGGAGCCCTTCGTTTCCCTCCTCCCCGAACGCCCTGGGGTGCCTCCCTCCGTGGAGGGCTGGGCCTAGAGGCCTGGAGGCCGACGCTGGCTTCTCGGTTGAAGCTGCCGTTTGCTGGGTGCTCGGTTGAGTTGGCAGAAGGGCAGAGCGGACGGGCCCTTGAGATGAAAGGAGAAAACCTTTCCCTCTGCCGTCTGTTTTGGGCAAGCGGTCATTATGGTTTGGCTCCGGTTTAAGCTTTGGATTTGGGCCAAGGAAGGAAGGGAAGAGGGCGGGCATCCCAACACACAATTTCCCCCTTTGGCGAATGCAGGAGCCGAGCGAAGGGGCCCTTCCAAAGGCCTCCATTTCACTCGCGGCAAGAAAAAGGCTTGAAAAGTTAAACCCTTCTCTCCAGTTGCCTCTTCCCTCCCCACCTACGGCGGTCCTTGACTCACAACCACAGTTTGCAAAGCCCTGGATTTTAGCTAGGAGTTGTTGTGGGGTTCAATTCAATTCAATAGATTTATAGGCCGCCCAATCCCGGAGGACTGGGGGTTGCAGGTCAAGGCATCCAGTGACTGGGCCCGATATTTTGGCCTTCTCGGCAGCTGCTGTGACGCCAATGCCGTGGTCGTTAAGCAAACCCTCTGGCACTAAGCAAACCCATTTTATTTATTGCTTTTGGGGGAAGCCAGGAGTAAATCTGAATACTGGCAAAAACCCAACGAAAGATTGTGGCCATGGGACACAGACACTATAAAGGAGAGTCAGCTATTATTAAGTGCCCCAAATCATGGGATCATGTGGCCCTGGGGAGTGTGTGGATATCATAACTTTGAAATCAGGTCATAAGCAGCTTTATTTCGGGGAGGGGGCATCTGTTGTAACTGCTAAGCGATTGGTTATCAGTCGAGGGCTCTTTACCTGTTATGTTTGAGGTTGAGCACAAGGATATTCTTGGAGTTCTCCAGCTCCCGGGGACACTCCGTCAGCTGGTTGTAGCTGAGGTCCTAGAGAGACAGGAAGGGCACATCAAGAGGCCACGGGAGCATCGCGTGGCTGGGACTCCTGCCACGGCTGCCACGCAGGCCACGTTTCTCAGGGGCCCAAAAGGAAGACAGCAAAAACAACGGGTGCGCCTTAATTTAGAGCAATTATCTCCAACGTGGCCACTCTGAGAATCCCACCCCCCCTCAGCCAGGGCTGCCACCTACCAGGACCGAGAGATCATCCAGCTGGAAGATTTCATAAGGAATCCCAGAATTTTTCAGCGCATTTGCCCGAGCGACGATGGCCTGGGGAAGTGGGAGGAGAGAGAAGAAGGGGGGGGAGGTCAGGCCTGCCTGGGACCACGCAGAGGGGCAACGGGGGAGCTCTTCAGGGGGGGGAGGCAGAGGACTTACCCGCAGGCAAGGGAGGCTGGAGAATTCTCCGTGGAGGGTAGTCAGGTTGTTGTGACTGACAGAGAGGTGTTCCTATTGGGGAAGAGAAGCAGAAAGGGTCTGGGGGCTGCACCCTCCCCACTGGAGAGTTTCACAGGGGTTGTTCCCTGTGGGCAAAGTATCTGGGTTTGTGCTCTGAGCCCAAATCCAGTGGAGGAGGACATGGCTTGGGGTGGGATGTGAGAGTGAAGGAGGCAGGAGGAAGTGGGGGGGGGGAGATCTTTGGAGGGAAATCTGTCCTCCCCCCCTCCCCAAATCCTCCACCCACTCTCTCTCTCTCACTAGTCCTTGAACCAGAAGGCTCCGAAGGCCCCCTTTGGGCACATGAGTTTAGCCTTAAAAAGAGGGAAAGGTGAAAGGGGAGGCTGGTGGGAGGACATTGTCATAACTCTTCCTTGCAAAAAATGCAATGTTAACACTTAAGGGAGATTTTAAAAAAAGACTCTGAAGCTGAAATACACCAAGTGAAGGAGAGGAAGAGTGGGAAGCAGAGGAGAGAAGAAAGATAGGAAGAGAGGGATAGGA